GTTGCGCTGACGCTCTCTCTCTCTCTCTCTCTCTCTCTCTCCCTACGCTCCAGCTCACGCTGACGCCCCTATCGAAGGGCTATGCCGGAGCTCTCTCTCTCCCTATGCTCCAGCTCACGCTGACGCCCCCGTCGAAGGGCTACGCTGACGCCGAAAATCTCTCTCCCTGCGCTCCAACTCATGACGAAATTAGCAGCCATCTGCGCTCGATTAATCATTGGTTATGGATTTTAACAGCGAAGATGTTCATGGTGATAGTAACAACAACAACGATTTCATGCCTTTTCCAACAACGATGCATGTTTCAAGGTACTTCATTAATAGCATGAATTTTGCTAACATTAAATATGTTGTTTGAAATAGTAATATTGAGTAACATTATATATTTTTGAATAATTATCTTTATTTCAGAATGAAAATTGGTGAAAAACCGTATTTAGGAATGAAGTTTAATAGTCATGAGGAGTCCTATGTTATAACTCGTATGCATTGATAATGAGATTTGGAATCAGAAAAAGCTCAGTGAATTACTCCCAGAAAGATAAAGAAGTGTTGAATAGAAATTTTTGTGACAAAGAAAGTTACAGATCTAATAAAGACAAGAGAGATATAGGGGAAAATATTAATCATCGGCGAGAGACCAGAGTTGGTTGTAAAGCAATGATGAGAATAAAATTAATGGAGAATAAAATATGAAAAGTTATAGGTTTTATTGAAGATCATACAAACCACATGCTCAAGTCCAGATTAAGCAAAGATGCACATGTCACAACAACAATTTCATAGAAGTAAAATGTGTAAAAAATGATTCAATGTTTGTAAGAAGAAGGTATTACTTCTTCTACTATTTCTCGTGTTATTAACGCGTCAAGTGGAAGAGAAGATGAATCAGTGACACCACAACAATGCATTGACTATATGAAAACTTAAGGGCACAACAATATTGGCAATGAATGTATATCTGTTATCCAATATTTTCAAAGAAAGGCGGCTAGTGATGCATATTTTTATTTTGCATTGGAAGTAGATTGTACTTGACAAATGAGAAGTGTTTTTTGGGCAGATGGAAAATCAAGAGCAACTTATTTGAAGTTTAATGATGTTATTGTGTTTGATGTGACTTATAAAACCAACAAGTTTAGTCTTCCATTTTCACCATTTACTGGGGTGAATCATCATAGGCAATCTACTTTATTTGGTTGCGTATTGCTAGCTGATGAATAAGAAGAAACATTTGTTTGGTTGTTTCAGGAATGGTTAAACTACATGCATGGAATTGAACCAGGTGCTATCATCACAGACCAAGACCGAGCAATGTGTAATGCCATTCATAAAGTCTTTCCAAACACAAGGCATAGTTATTGTTATTGGCATCTGCAGCGACATATTGCCGATCATTTGCATACTTTGAATTCTGTTTATAGTGAAGAATTTCAAAAATATTGGGACTTGTGGTGTAATAGTGGTAACATTGAGAACTATAATTTGCATTGGCTCGAGATTAAGGAGAAGTTTAAGATAATAGAAGAAGAAGATGGATGGCTGCAAACTATGTACATGTATCGAGACCATTGGGTGTTATGCTTTTTAAAAGGCATGTTTTTTGCAGGAATGAGATCAACTCAAACGAGTGAAAGCATCAACTCATTCTTTGATGGATATGTGAATTTACAAACACAGTTAAAAGAATTTGTAACTCAATATGAAAAGACCGTGACACATCGACGATTGAGTGAAGCACATGAAGATTTTAGAACTCTTAATACAAAACCGCAGTTTCACCTTAGGCATCCAATTGAAAGACAAGTTGAAAGTAGTTATACCCGCACTATGTTTCATGTATTTCAGAATGAGATCAAAGGGTGTGGTGTTCTTGGCCTTCAAGAGGAGAAAAAAGAAGAAAAGTCTGTTTTATGCCGAGTTGGTGACTTAGATGAAAGCAATGAAAAGTGGAGGTTTGTTACTTATGATGAATGTAAAGAATTACAGTATAGTTGCAACTGTGGTTTGTTTGAGAATAATGGTGTTTTATGCAAACATATATTGTACACTCTAATGTTCAACAGACAATGTTGTTCATTGCCCAGTGTATATATTCTACACCGTTGGACTATAGATACTCGACATCATAACATTAGAGTTAGTAATGCTGTGTTTGGCAAAAACATTGCACGCGGTGTAGAAAAAAAATCAATTTGTTAAAATCTTGGGCGTTGAAAGCAAAAACAAATAATGCACTGGAGCTTGCCTTTGAGTCAGATAAGAGAATGCATGAGCTTGATTCTTTGTTAACAAGTTTCATAGAAAGGGTTGAAGAAGAAGTCAGAGGGTGTCAAGCAATAGAAGCTGGTAGCAGCCATATTCCTGACTCGGATATTCCACAGATACCTACTTCACATACAATCCAGCATATTCCGCAAATTATAATTCGTGACCCTGAAAAACAAGCAAGAACCAAAGGCCGTCCACGCAATATGTCCATCTCACCAACACTAACTCCAAAGAACAATATGTCCATCACACCAACACAACAACAAAATTTTAGAAGAGGGAAAAACATCATGAAACTGATACAAACACGAAGAAAAATTCCTATATGTTGCTCAGTCATTTGACTATAACACAGAGCAACAATATCAGGACAACGATACTTATAAATTTTAAATATAAAATTACATCATTCAACATTTTATTCAAAACCTCATCATTTTTTTCCAGCCTTTTTGTGATGTTCTTGGTATCACCCACCCATTCGAAGAAGTTGCAACCCTTACAATTAGGTCCCTTGTATCTCGGGGATCTATAAAATTATAAGCCCTTATTGTGTCCTTGCTTGCACATCCATATTCTGCAAATTAACCCACAATAACATCTTCTTTGAACTAAACCCTCATCTTCTTCTCCACTGAACTCTTCCAAAAAGTTATTCGTCTTTTATCTGCAAAAAACATACCACAAACAAGATAAAATTCATACAAAGAGTCAATTTAACTTTTTCCTTCTTAGAAAATGACTCACTCATACTTGTGGACTTTTTTTCTTCTGCAATTTATCTCAGCATAATTTGAATAAAATTACTAAACTCAAAAACTAGGTTCAGCCATAAAGAAATAAAGAAAGTGAAATTTTATTGTACACTCTAAAGAAATCAAGAACTGTAAGAAGAGGGAAAAAAGAATAAAGAAAGAAACAAGCTAAATTGGAGGCATCGATACAGTTATGTTTACAAGGGGACATGAAAAACATTCATGGTAAACAATCATGATAAATGATGATTGTGATATGCTATAATACATATACATCGGAAATAGATCATTTCATGTTGACATCTTCATTGTTAAGAGACCTTCCTACATCTAAAGTACTAACTGCAAGTTGTTGAACCTCGACCAAAGTTTCTAGTCCACTGATTCCATATTGGATTTGCTGAAATGAATTATTACTGAACAAATCCTTTTATCTCATTTATCTACACGTATCATATTGCACGTATCATCATTAACATATGTAATGCATATCACACCTACCATAAAATTTATTCAATTTATTCCAGTATCAACTTCACAAAATGTATAATTCTCAACCTTCAGGTTTCTTTGACATATCAAAAGTTCTGCCTTGCTAAAAGGTATGATGAGGTTGTTGTCAGCACATATGTCTCTAATAAGAATAGGTTATAGTCCAATTAGTTGTGGTCCAGTTTTCCTTCAAGAGGTACAAAAATCACAGACACACCATAAGAATATTGGAAAATAGGTAAAAATATATCATTGTCTGGTCCAATAACTGCAGCAAATCTATGTCATTAACAAGGGATATGCAAACAAAAAAATGCATGACGTGAATTAAGCTCACAAGGGATATACTCACATTCTCTTTGTGGTTCATTGGGTTGGAGCACAGGAATTGCGGATCTGGTTTTGAGCAAAGGGGGAGGGTCTTCGACGGGGCTTCGGCTTCGGCGCAACCCTTCGACGGGGGCGTCGGCGTGAGATGGAGCGCATGGAGAGAGAGCTCTGATGCAGCCCTTCGACGGGGGCGTCGGCGTGAGCTGGAGTGCAGGAAAAGAGCTTTTTGGCATAAGCGAAGCCCTTCGACAGGGGCGTCGACGTGAGCTGGAGCGTAGAGAGAGAGAGAGAGAGAGAGAGAGAGAGAGAGAGAGAGAGCTCCGACGTAGCCCTTCGACGGGGGCGTCGGCGTGAGCTGGAGCGCAGGGAGAGAGAGAGATCCGACGTAGCCCTTCGACGGGGGCGTCGGCATGACCTGGAGCACAGGGAGAGAGAGAGAGAGAGCTCCGACGATTTGGGGATCTTAATTTAGGGAGAGGCTCTTCAATTTGGGGATTCTGAGAGTTGTAGGGTCACGAGAGGGGAGAGAGAGTTGTTTAATTCACCATCGCTGTATTTTTTTTCAAAAAAAAACCCTGTACTGGAGCTCCTTCAATCACACTTGGCCACGTGAGCTGGAACGCATGAAATTTCTGTGTGTGTGTGTGTGTGTGTGTGTGTGTGTGTGTGTGTGTGTGTGTGTGTGTGTGTGTGTGTGTGTGTGTGTGTGTGTGTGTGTGTACCTATGTATTGATGAGACATAATTTTTTTTAAATAATACATATATGTTCGTTCATTGGTCTCTTTGAATGCGAGTTATAATTAGCATGTTTTAATGCTTTCTCACTTATTCGCCTTATCATTTCTATATATATGCATTAAGGCATTTTGATGGGAGGAGCTTTTTCCCTATATTTGTTTTATACTCACCTATGCTTATTTGTAGGGGGCTTTCGCTCTCATCATTCTTCCTTTTTCCCCCATTTTGAAGTTGACAAAAGGGAAAAAAACAAGTATATAGCGAGTATATCTTTAGTTTTGCTTTCTATTGCATATCTTATATCTCTTTGTGTAGATTGTTTGTCATCATCAAAAAGGAAGAGATTGTTAGGTCTCATATTTATGAGCCTACTATCTAATCTATTTTTTATGATTAATAAACAATTCCTAACAACATTTGTCGAGTATTTGTATTTGCTTGTTAGGTATTCTACACAAAGATCCTCCATTGGTAGTTGGATGGAATTACGCTTTAATGATAATATTCAAAGGAGGTTAGCGGAATCAGAATAAAGCCATTTGTGCATTCAAGTCAAAGATTCTCTATTACACTTCATCCTACTAAGGCGAGCTTAATTGAAGATCAAATTGTTTGGTATAGTGTTTTAGGTTTACACCTTGTGTGTTAATACTTAGAGCTCAAAAATCATACACACACACATTGGTTTTTGCTTTATCACCAATTTTAGATTATAGACTTAACAACGTGATGTTATATATTTCCTCAAATCTATAAATCTATTTTAAAGTGTTTCAAAACTTGTTTGAAGAAATTTTATCAAAATCAAGTTTTAATGTTTTCACATTTGTTGAGCGGTTTGCAAAATACATGAGTTTTCACAAATGGAAAATACAAATTCAAAATTTTCTTCTCAAACATGTTTGTTTTCATATTTAGAAACATCGTCCAAAATTTAATATGCTAAATTGATTTACAAAATCAAGTGTTTAAGCAGTTGTTTGAATTTAGAATATCTTTTTTAAATAGAGATTTCTCACAAATAGGAAGTGGTATTTTAGAAATTCTTTATCTAACATGTTTATATACATGTGTAAAAATTTTCTCAAAATTTTATAATTTTTGGAGTTCATTTGCTATTTTTAATTAATTTTAGAAAATTATCTGTGCAAATTTTGAGGATCTATCATGCATGTAATTGGTCGACCGATCACATGCCATCAGTCGACCGATGACCTCATATCAGTCGATCGACACATGAAAATCAGTCGACCGACCAGAGAGCCGTTGCATCCAATGGCTAGTTTTTCCAGAACTGGTTTTTGGAAGTTTTTGTCTGTTTTTTTTTTTTTTTTGTTAGGCTGTTGTTTGAGAACATATTAATACACCTCAGCCCTCAACACTTTTATATAACTAAGAAAAGTTTTTTAAAATAAGTTTTTGCAAGTTTGTTTCAAGTTTTCAAAGATCAAAAGTGTGTTTTAGTTTTGTGAAGAGAGTTTCACAAGAAGAGGAGATCATCTCGGTTTGAGCTTCAAGCTTCATATCTCCATCTCTCTTGTTTTAGAGAAGTTTTTCTAAACTCATCTTCTAGCTATCTATTGTTTTAATTCTCATATTTATGCTAGATTGATTTGAGTTTAATTTTGATTTTATTATACTCATGGTTTACACCCACACCCCTTGAAACTTAAGTATTTTCACATATAGTAATTTGGGTTATGGTGAGTGATTCATTGAGTGTGAGTTTAACTTAGTTCTCGTCCTTGTTAGAAAACAAACATTTATTTGAGCATATCATTGTTGAGATCACTTTGTAATATACAATGACACTTAGAGGAGTGGTTGGTGAGAGACGAGGTCAATTCCAAGAGGAGTGGTGTCGATTGTAAATCCTAAGGAGAGGTAGTAATTCTGAGCACTTGAGGAAGGTGATACGGGTTAGGCCAACACTTAGAGGAGTGTATTATGTATTGACAATTATGTGAGTTGTAAACGTTTATCGGTGAGCGTTGAAAATCGATTGTGTAGTTTTTTTTGAGATAGCAGAGATTCTCCTTGAGGGTGAGGAGCGGAGATGTAGGTCGTGTGTCGACCGAACTCCATGATCATTTGCCTTGTGTTTGCATTTGTCTATTTGCGCACTATCTCTCTTATTTGTGTGTTCATGTTAGTTAATAAGTTTTAAATCGGCATTAATATCGGATTAGATTGGCAAATACCCTATTCACCCCTCTCTAGGGTACTTTCACCCTGCGCCTAGGCCTGCTCTCACAGTCCTCAACACCTCCCTCACAGAAGTTCTCTCTAGGGTCCAAAAGGAGGGGTACCTCGAAGAGCCTACTCTCAAGATGAGATCGGATCCCTAGAGCCGAGACACTAGGCAGTATTGCTGCTACCACAAAGATCACGGCCACATCACCAATGAGAGCCGAGACACTAGGCAGTATTGCTGCTACCACAAAGATCACGGCCACATCACCAATGACTATTGTATCCTAAAGAGGGACATTAAGGACCTGATTGAGAGAGGGTACTTGAACAAGCTTGTCTCGCAAAGAGACTGAAGGGAAGCTCCTCCAGCTAAGGCAGATAGGAGATCCCGCTTGCGGTCACCTTTCCCTCGACCACGTCAGGATAGCCGACCCCCAGAGCCTAGCCATAAGGGGGTCGTCGATATGATCAGTAGAGTTCCTACCGCTGGAGGGTCGTCCAACAACGCTCGAAAAGAGTTATGCTAAGAAGGTGTTGTGGGTCGACCAGCGCGACAAGAGGTCGAGAGCGGAGGAGCCCATCTCTTTTGGTGACGACTACCTATAGTGCGTCAAGACACCCCATGACGACCCCATCGTCATAACAGCCGAGATTGACAGCTTCCAAGTGAAGAGGATTATGGTCGACACGGGAAGCTCAGTGGACATCTTATATGTTGACACCTTCAACCAGATAGGCAATGACAAATCTCGATTGCTCTCCTATAGAGGCCCCCTCATAGTATTCACTAGCTCTCTCCTGCCGAAAGGGATGATCACTCTCCCCCTAACAGTCGAAGAGTACCCCAGACAATCCACGGTCCAAGTTCAATTCCTGGTGATGAATTGTAAGTCGGCCCACAATGTCATCTTGGGTCGAACCGCCCTCCATCTTTTACGGGCCATACTTTCAACCTACCACCAGATATTGAAGTTCCCGACTCCTAATGGAGTCGGGGTCGCCAAGAGCAACCATCGAGAGGCCAAATCCTATTATATGCTCTCGACCAAGGGTAAGGGTGTGCAAGATGCCTTGCCTATTGAGAAAGTCTACCTCCGGTTAGAGAGAGCAACGGAGCGGCAGAGGACGACACCCATGGAAGAGATCCAGGAGATACCAATCGATCGAGAAGGGAAAAAGATGGTCAAGATTAGGTCCAGCCTAGTGGATCCCTTGCGAGCAGCATTGATGGAATTCTTGTGGGAAAACATCTGATGTGTTTACCTAAGGACCCAAAGATATGCCGAAGGTTCCCCCCGAGGTGATAAGCCATGAGCTGGTTGTCAACAGGCACACTAAGCCTGTGCGATAGAAGAAGAGACATCTCGGCCCTAAATGACAGAAGGCGGCTGTCGATGAAGTCGAACATCTCCTTAAAGCTGGTTTCATCTGGGAAGTCCAATACCCGGAATGGCTGGCCAATGTGGTGTTGGTGAAAAAGGTGTTGAACAAATGAAGGATGTTCATGGACTTCACCAACCTCAACAAATCTTACCCCAAGGATAGCTACCCCCTGCCTCGAATCGATCAGTCGGCTAACGAGAGTGCAGAGCACGAGCTGCTTAGCTTCATGGATGCCTTCTCCGGCTACAACCAAAATTTCATGGTAGAACATGATTAGGAGAAGACCTAATTTATCACTGACTTAGGGACCTATTGCTATAAGATGATGTCATTCGGACTTAAGAATGATGGGGCCACATACTAGAGACTTGTCAATAAGGTCTTCAAACACTAGATTGGCCGCAATCTGGAAGCTTATATGGATGACCTGCTGGTGAAATCAAACAAGCCTCGGCCCACATATCAGATCTGGACAAGACCTTCTCCACCCTTTGGCACTACCACATGAAGCTCAATCCCGCCAAGTGTGCCTTTAGGGTGCATTCAAGAAAGTTCCTGTGGTTCTTGATCACACACACAAAGAGGCATAGAGATCAACCCCGAGAAGATAGCCACCATAGAGTGTTTGTTGGAAAATTTGTAGTAAAAAGACAATGAAAGAAAATTGACTTGTATTCTCTCAAAATCAATTACAATTTGGATTTCCTGATTACAAAAGAGAAGAGAACGAATTTGGTTCTCCCCTTTGTTTAAAACTGGGTTCTTCTTGGTAGCGATGGAGTACCTCCTTCGATTGCTTGCATCGAAATTGCTCTCCGTTAACGATCTGACCGTCTCTTATCTCATGGGAACAATGAACTTCTGTGGAAAGTTTGATGGGTAACTCTTAACGAGTTTAAGAACTCTGGACGAGTTAGAACTCTGTGAAGAGAGTTGTTAGAACCGAAAATTTGGTTAATGACCAAGCAGATATTCTGTTGTTGAAGAATCTTCTTAGATTTGATCTTCTGAATTTGATTCAAATCCTCTATCTCCAAGAAATTCGCCTCTCCTGCCTCTCTGTGCGGTTGAGATCCTGAAGAAACCTCTCTGATGCTGCCTCTCCGTTCTCCAAAGCCTGCCCTTAACTCAGTTGAGTTTGTTGAGTTTTTATAGGTGGATAAGAGGTTGTAACTGCCCTCTAAATCCGCTCCTAAGTGGGCATGATTTCCTCAGATCGTGGGGAAACAGTTCTGAAACCGTTCGACTCGTATTTGAACGAATCAAACGCCCAATCTGGCATTCAGAACCCAACATCGCCTCTTAGAATTGAGACGTGAGGTTGGGTGTTGACTGAACATCAATGAACGCGAGAGTCGCTCGCGTTTGGCTGTAATAGCTTAGAAACGCGGGGGTCGGTGTTGGTTGAACCTCCAGAACACGAGGGTCGCTCGCGTTCGGCTTGTTATAGCTTGGAAATGCGGGGGTCGCCTGCATTTCCAAAATTATGACGCGGGGATGACTTCCGCGTTTTAGAAGGGGTTAGTTGATTTTTAACCTCTCAGTAATCCTAGCTTTAGCTGTTGTGGGGTGTGAAAATCGTCAGATTGTAACTTTCACTGTAGATTGTGGAGACTGCTGAATAGAGTTTTCATCAGTTGTCGGAAGCGTCGTTGGATTGTAACTCTTCTCGATCTATGTGAAAAGTCCTCCATTTGCAGCTTTTGTTTGTTGGCATGAAAGCTATCTGATTGTAGCTTTCATTATTGGAACTTGACGGGAATCAATCATCCATAGTGATTTTAGACGAATATTTGCCCACAGCTCTCTACCAAGCAACTCACTAACTAAGTCCAACCTTTTTATTTCTGAAATCATTACACTACTCATCAGCATCTCTAATAGTTGCTAATATAATATTAATCATGCTGTTGTCGCAGCCATCAAGATCCATCATCTCATAGATGAGGCCGTGTTTATAGCGGTTGCAGAGTTGCAGATGCAGTAATTAGAAAGTCGTCTGATTATAACTTCCATCGTCGGGGCTTGTTAGGGATCAGCTATCCATTGTGATTTTTAGACAGCCTACAGAACCCCCTCTAAAGTTTTCGAAAGTTCGCGGTTGACTGGGATAAATTTTCAGAATACTTTGGATCCCAAAATTTAGTGGATTGATCGTTCCCTCCATCTAATCGAGCCATACGATTTCAACATTGTTGATTGAAACCTATCTGTACTCCTCCAATAGACTCCCCAACGGAGTCGCCGGTTTTTCTCGGCCTTGATTACCTTGATAATTGTTGTAGCCTTGGTAGTCAAGAAGCTGCTATTGTAGCTGTCCAAATAACTTCTGCATTTAAGAATTGGAACGCGTGGGTGAGCCTCGCGTTTTGGAATTCTAACCAACTCGAACGCTAGGGTCGAGTTTGGGCGGGATTCTGGCCTCGAATCCCGTCCGTTACGATTTGACAGCTCACAGCTGTCTATAAATTGACCGCTGGAGGTCGAATCAAGAATCATTTGACTCTTCTTGAAAATCTAACGAAAATTTTCGTTCTCATCTCCGGCGAGAACTGCTCATCTCCTCCGATTAGGCTTCATGGCACCCAAGAAGGTTGTCCCTCGTTCCTCCAAGTCCGACGCTGCTGAGGTTCAGGGGTTGGCGCCATCTACGCCGGCCGGCGGCGCTACTGCTCAGGCGAACGTGCCGCCCCAGCTTCCTCTGATCGGCAGTGAGTACGGCCTCTGTGGTAATTAAACTTGCTTCGGCAAGTTTTGATCTTTGGATCAACGAGGAAACTCGTTTCGATAACGCGGGGCTAGACTCCGTCGTTTAGTATTTTTTCGACGAGGGGTTCGACCTCTGCGTCTTGGATTCTTGACGCGAGGTTCGACCTTCGCGTCTAAGATTTTTGACGCGAGGTCTGAGATTTTCGACGCGAGGTTCGACCTTCGCGTCTGAATTTTTCGACGCGAGGTTCGACCTTCGCGTCTGAGCTTTGCTTTTAAGTTGTCTAACTTTTTTCTTCATTTTGTAGTGCGTCATACTAGCGAGCCTCTTCCTTTTCACCATCATTTTGGGCACGAAGGTGGTGTGGATCCAAATATGACCTTCAATCTGCGCCAAGAACTCCTAGTTTTCCGAATTAAGGAAAAGAGTCGCGTGGAACTAATCACCCAAGCTTCTCCTGAGACCCTTAGTATATTGGTTACGGATGCTCGACTTGAAAACCCAAGCCGTAAGCCAATAGTCAAACCTGGATTCCTCTTTGGGGATTTTGTTGACTTTGAGGCAGGCGTCGCTTATGATGGGGACTACAAATGGTTGCGGAAAGTTGGAGAACGCAACCTCTTCTTGCCCAATATGGAGAGCGTATGGATTGACCCCTGGTTAAAGATCAGGATGGAGTTGTTCTCGGAACCCTAACTTTTCAAGGGGTCCGCACACTTGGTTACAACAGGCAGGTGACAGCTTTACGACCTGGTTTATTAGCTAAGGAGTATCCCGTCGGTGAAGTGGCCAGTCCGGCGAACACCTTTGTCAAGAAATTTCTGGCAAAGAAAGGAGAATTTCCCATGCAAGGATTTAGAACTCCTGGCTGGGTTCATTCTCCAGTGACAGGGTGGTGGACTCAGATGACTAAGTTTGTTTTGGAGGAATTGGAAGCCCCTCTTGCTCGAGCTGGATTGCAGGTTCCTGTACGGGCTACTAAGTTCAGGATTATCCAGAGCCACTTTCATTTCTTCTCCATATTGGAGAAGTATAATCCTGAGACTTGTACTTTCTTCACCCCCGTGGGGGAATTAGGCTTCGCTCTTCACGAGATGCATGAAGTCTCGGGTCTTCTTCTTGGGGATTTACCGTACGAAGAATTTGTTTTGGGATCCGCGGAACTTAAGATTTTAAAGAAGAGCAGCCCCAAAATTTATGCCACCCTCTGGGAAGTCATGTGTCACTTCCACATTTGTATGCAGCAAATGGGGGCCCGTGGAAGTGGCATTAAACAAGTGTCTTGGGCGGAATATTTATTCCAGAACTTGACCAATAAGGGGGCCTCAGTGACCCGATTATCTGCAAGCACTTTGGAGGAGGTTCAGGCCCGAATCGATGATGCTACCTCCCACTACACCAACGAGGCCAAGGAAGATGTTTTCCCGGCTCATACGGAGTTTGAAAGCTTCCATTATCAAGCTCTGATTCCGATTTCTGACACGGCGCTGTTGGCTGGATTCTTAATGCTGTGGCTCAAGCGTTGCGTCTTTCCTACTAGGCCGATTGATGCCCTTGCTATTGAGGTGGTCTACCCAGCTGTTCTTTTGGAACATGGGAGACCTGTGAGCCTCCTCAATGCCATGGTGGGTTGTTTGCAGAATGGGCTGCGTGAATTAGCCTTGGATTTTACTGATATCACCGAGGTAGAGTCTGGAGGCCACAGGGTTTTCAAAACTCCCAATCCCAGGGTGCCACTGCCATATACCTATCTGATGGCTTGGTACGTGCTTCACTGCCCTCCCATAATGAGTGCAGCCTCTCCTCCAGGAGACTCATTTACCCCATTTGTGCAATGACTAGAATCTGCAAAATGGGAGGGAGGTTATATGGTTAGGATTCGCCAAATTTTGTCGCGAGACACCCACTACCACATCTTCCGTTATTTTCCTGATTTTGAGGCCGGCGTCTACGGAGCAGAATATCAGGACGCAGTAGGTCCTAATGAGTTCACCCAGCTGAGTGGGGGTGTTTTCCATTGGCTTCTCTCTATCAGGCCAGGCTACTTGATCTTCCGACAAGGCGCCAGCTATTTCATTGAGCCCTACCAACCCTATAGGTTCGCTCGCCAATTTGGGTATGATCAGTTGTACATTGGGAATTCTCGTCCTCAACTCTCAATTGTGGGCAATTTATACAAAGGAGCCAGGGCTTGGTATTATTCTGTGGCAGGTTGTACCAAGGTCATCTTCAGGCTTCCCCACAAAACACCCAACTCCTACACTTCCATAAGCTTCTGTAATTGGTATTTCGCTGCTTCTAAGACTCCCAATTACAACCTGAATACATCTTGCCTAAAAGACATCAGGCATATGTATGCTTCGAGAAGGGGGTCAAAGACTTCCCGCTTGAGAGGGATTGACGAATTTCTGTCTATCGAGAACCAGCCTGCTGGACAAGAAGAAGAACAAAGAGCTGAGCCTGTTCCGGTAGAAGAACAATGAGTGGTCGATCCTCCCGCGACAAGAGCATCGGGGAAAAGAAAACTTTCTGCAGATGAAGCCGGCAAATACGATAAGCAGATCCGTCGGAAGTTGATGGTTGATTCTCCTCCCCCCCAAGGTCAACAAAAATCCAAGTTGATGGCTGATGCCATCAGAGCTGCTGAAGATGAAGAACAACAGGAATCTTCAGTTGCAGGCCTGCTACATAGAACTGGACTTCGTTCTCATGGCCCAGCTCTATCGAGCGAAGCTTCTTCTTACCATCCCCCCGAGGACGAGGAGGGCGAATTAATGGCTGCAGATGCAGAATCTGCTCCGGTGATGGACCTTCCTAAGTCTCCTGCACTAGAATCAGGGGGTCTCGAAGAGAATCCATCCCCTCCTCCCTCAGCATTAATGTCACAAGCTGGTGATTTAATTCCCAGTCCTACAACGGGACTTATGAATAGACCAGCTGCTGGCATAATTCTTCCTGAACCTTCCGCCACCCGGGATGATGAGGAACGAGTAGATTATGAAGGCTCCTCAATTGGTGATGCGGCTGACGAAGATGGAGATGATGAGGATGCTGACGCTGGCAACATGCCATGTGATGATGCGGGGGACAAAGAGCATAATTCTATGATGACATAACCATTTTTGATGATGCCCCTAAGGTCCCATCCGATAAAGTATCTGGTTATACTCCCTTTCACCTCTCTGATAAGCCTAGTTCTCTTCGAATTCTTCCGCATGTTCTTTCCGCGTTCCGACCCTTTTTTCGTGCAGGTTCGCCTCCTATCAAGACTACTGATGCTACTACTTCGGAGCAGGATCCTGCACAAGCGTCGGCTCTTCCACAAGAGCAACACTTATCTGGCTCATCCACAGTGGCTGTTTCACGTGCCACACTACCCGAGGCTACTACTGTGACTCCTCCCCCTGAACAGCAGGTCGCGCAGGTGTCAGCTCCTATGCACGAGCAGCCTCTACCTGCTTCGTCCACTGTAGCTGCTTCATCTACCTCGTTGATGAAGATCTCACTTACACCAATAGAGGCGAGGCCAAGCACGTCTCAGGCAAGAGCAATGATGGCTTTGACCTCAAGCCCATCACAATTAAACGTTTCTACCGCTTCTGTAGCTTCAGCACCCAGATCCCCTGTACCAATTTCAATGGCTCTGGGAGCATCCTCAAGCGTCACTTCAAGTCTCGCGGGCGCACCTGAGTTCCTTCAAATCTCCTTGGTGTATTTGAATAGCCTCGTAAAGAAGGTAATTGAATATGTGGTGAGTGGTCAGGGAACTTTCAATTCTTTCCAACCTCTTCTGGAGGCAGGTTTAAACGGAGTCAGAAGTGTGGGAAACACTCTGTGGTTCAAGCGCTGTTCTGAGATTATCCTTTGTTTGGAAGAACAATTACAGCATTTTGAGGCCTTGGGTCGCAGAGAGCTTCAGCCACAAATTGTGTCTACTTTGGCCAGTCTTCAGGTTGCAGAAGTGGCTCGCCGGGAGGCGATAGAACGGGACTTGGCTGAAAGAGAACGTCAAATCACGGAGCTTCGCGAGCGTAATATTCGGAAGCGAGAAGAGTTAGAACGCTCGACTACTTCTATGAATTCGCTTCGTGATAGACTTGTTGAAGCTGAGGCTGAAGTCCTACGATTAAAGGCTGAACTAGCTCGCGAAGAAAATGTTGTCAATATCCTTAGCACCCAAAATGCTACTGGCGCTTTGGAATATCACACGCATGCTCAAGCTTTGGAACAAGCCAGGAATGAAGCAGCAGCTATCATCACACCCAGTGAGGAAGAAC